GAGTGGTAGGAATTTAATGTATGATATTTCACGGGCGCGAGAAAATCGTGTTTGTTTCAACTTTCAATGGTAACAAATGGTATTTGAATGACAGATTTTGGGATGAATTTTTAAACCACTGAATTGGTGCTATCTGACTGACATAATATTTGTTTCCCATTATACCCCCATCTAATTTAATTAATTTCATATTTATCCTGACAACTAAAAACCCTAATTTCTCTTCTTCCTCACTCAAGCCGCACGCATGTAGGACGAGTCTTCTTCTTCTTCGACCGATTCTTTTCTTGTTCTTAATCTCTGATTGCTTCCAAATGTTGGTTCATTGATTCGACTTCTGATTTGCGTTCTTCACCTTCTCAATCGGTAAGTATTTTTGTATTTTTTTCTTTGATTTTTTCAGCATCAATTTTTTTTTCATTTTTTCTTTGATTTGTTTATATTTCTTTTGTTTTTTTCTTCGATTTGCATGTTTTCTTTCTGTAATAGCCTATATCTGTGAGTGAGGGTGAGATGAATGGTAGAGTTTGATGGAGTGAAATTATAATCTTTACTTGAAGAAATATGAGCAAAGACAAGTACTATGACTCTTTGTCCTTGTCTGCACTAGTAGCAAATTAGTTATAGTGTTTACACTTTATTGATATGATGTTTGGAAAGATTTTTTTTTGTTGCATTGGTTTTTGTAGGGGCATTCTTCACTTGTTTTTGTTTGACTTTTAGGAATCTTGTTTCTTGTATGTTTTGAGTATATCAACTGGTCTAAGAATAATGTAACAATATTGAGGCCTCTCTTTATATATCTCTTCCTAGACCCTATGGTTCTCTGTTGCAACAAGGAAAACCAAATCCCTTACTCCAACTGGTCCCTCTGAGCCTCTAAGATCTTTTTATAGAGATTCGAGCACCTAATATCTTGTTGATAATTCTAGTACTGAAATTCTCTCCTCACTAGATCAAATTTCGCCCTTTGTTTCTTCCTCCCATGCCACATTTTTAACTAAAGAGCTTCTATTTTGTTTTTGCTTGCTGATTTTTAAGCATAAGAATGGTGGATTCAGTTTTAAATGCTCTATCCAAGAAAAGAAATAGAAAAACACATAAGAAAAATAGGGTTTGGCTCTTTTACTTGTAAATCATGGTTCCATAAGATAAATGCATCAACTGATATCAAGTCTTGCAATATCACAACTTTTTTACATGCCTAACAGATTTCTTTGGTTGGATTGATGTACATTTCCAATAGATTTCTTTGGTTAGATTGATGTACAATTCTATAAACGCATTATCTTGGGACAATTACATGTGACAATTTGAGTAGTTAGACAGGCTCACTACAGCCGCTTTGGCAGTGAAATTGCTTGGCAGCTTGTGTATTAAATTATGCTTTTGCTCTTGGACTCCCTGATATTTTACTTGAAGGTGGTCTACGAAGCTAAACACATCTTTAGATTAGTAAGCCTTAGCTTCACTGAAATGAAGTGGAGGTTGGATGAGCTTTTGTCAAAACTAATATGTTTTAACTAGAATTAAAAAAGTGCATCCTAAACTTTATGAAAACTAGTAGAAATTTTTATCCTCCTATTTAGTCAAGTATGGATTTTCAAATGAATTTTACTTATGTTGTCTTGTTTTATTTTATATGAACTTT